CGTATTTTCCCTCGTCTTTGGTCATTAATAGAGAGGACCGATGGACAGGTAGGACGACCCCGCCGCCTCACCTTAACGACCACAACGTACTAAGCTGGTCCGCGTCCTTCTCTCTCTCTCTCTCTCTCTCTCTCTTCTTCTTCTTCCCCCTCGTTATCTCACTCCACCTCACAAGAACCAGCCGCAAACACCAAATTTCCGGTTATAAATCCGATAAAAAACACAACAAAAAACTACAGTAACAGTGTTAATAATTAATCAAGATGTGAACAAATCAAGCCACATTTTGCAAGACTTTGGAGAACAACGACGATGGTGATGATAATAATGATGATGATGATGATGATGATGATGATGGTTAAAAATAAAATATAATCACCTGGAATTCCTTCTTCCACTCCCTTGTGTACTATCTCTTATTTATTGTCCTTCTGGTATTTATTTATTTCTTCTAATACTTCTTTCTCTCTTTCCTTCCTTCTTAAAACTTCTCATCGTTCCCTTTTATCACCTGTTTTGTTTACCTCATATTCGTAAGTTTTTCTTCTCCCCAGTCTCTTTCTTCCCTCTACCTTATACCTTTCGTTCTCCTCCTTGTCTTTTCTCTCTCTCTTTTTCATTTATGCTGGTCTTCTAAAATGTATTTCACACACACACACACACACACACACACACACACACTAACAACCTAAACACTCCACTAACAACCACTAGACTCACTAACAACCACTAGACTCCACTAACAACCACTAGACTCCACTAACAACCGCAACACTCCACAAACAACCGCTACACTCCACTAACAACCGCTACACTCCACTAACAACCGCTACAATCCATTAACAACTGCTCTACTCCACTAACACCCGCTACACTCCACTAACACCCGCTACACTCCACTAACAACCGCGACACTCCACTAACAACCGCTACACTCCATTAACAATCTCTACACTCCACTAACAACCGCTACTGCTCCACTAACAGCAAATACCCTTCTAACAACCGCTACCTCCACTAACAACGGCTACCTCCCATTAACAACTGCTCTACTCCACTAACAACCGCTACGCCACTAACAACAAATACCACTTCTAACAACCCTTTACCTCCACTAACAGCAGCTACACTCCATTAACATGCTCTACTCCACTAACAACCGCTACACACTCACTAACAGCCGCTACACTCCACTAACAACCGCTACACTCCACTAACGTCTCTACCTCCACCAACAACCGGCTACCTCCACTAACGCCGCTACACTCCACTAACAACTGCTACACTCCATTAACAACTGCTCAACTCACCTTAACCGCTACACTCCACACTAACAATCTCCCTCCACCTAACAACCGGCTACCGCCACTAACCTTCACTACCTCCACTAACAACTGCTACCTCCATTAACAACTGCTCAACTCCACTAACAACCGCTACCTCCACCTAATAACCGCTACACTCCACTAACAACTGCTACACTCCATTAACAACTGCTCGACTCCACTAACAACCGCTACACTCCACTAACAACCGTTACACTCCATTAATAACTGCTAGACTCCATTAACAACTGCTAGACTCCATTAACAACCGCTACACTCCACTAACATTCGCTACACTCCACTAACAACCGTTACACTCTACCAACAACCGCTAGACTCCACTAACAACCACTAGACTTCACTAACAACCGCTAGACTCCCTTAACAACCGCCAGATTCCCTTAACAGCCGCTAGACTCCCCTAACAACCGTAACACTCCACTAACAACCGCTACACTCCACTAACAACCGCAACACTAGACTAACAATCGCTACACTCCTGGAAATAACCGCTACACTCCACTAACAATCGCTACACTTCAATAACAACTGCTAGACTCCCCCAACAACAATAGACTTCCCTAACAACCGCTACACTCCACTAACAACCGCAACACTCTAACAACCGCTACACTCCACTTAACAGCTACACTCCACTAACAACCGCTACACTTCACTAACAACCGCTACACTCCACTAACAACCGCAACACTCCACTAACAACCGCTACACTCCACTAACAACCGCTACACTTCACTAACAACCGCTACACTTCACTAACAACTGCTAGACTCCCCTAACAACCATTACACTCCACTAGCAACCATTACACTTCATTAACAACTGCTAGACTCCACTGACAACACAACACTAACATACACAACAGTACACTAACAACCACAACACTACAATTACAACCACAACACTACACTTACAACCACACTACTACACTAACAACCACAACACTACACTAACAACCACAACACTACAGTAACAACCACAACACTACACTAACAACCACAACACTACACTAACAACCACAACACTACACTAACAACCACAACACTACACTAACAACCACAACACTACAGTAACAACCACACTACTACACTAACAACCACAACACTACACTAACAACCACAACACTACACTAACAGCACAACACTACTAACAACCACAACACTACTAACAACCACAACACTACACTAACAACCACAACACTACACTAACAACCGCAACACTACGGTATCATACAACACTACACTAACAACCACACTTTCTCACTAACAACCACAACACTACACTAACAACCACAACCACCACACTAACAACCGCAACACTACACTAACAACCACAACACTACACTAACAACCACAATATTGCACTAACAACCTGATACTATGCCAACAACTGCAACGCATACGGTAACAACCACAGCACTACAGTATCAGCCACAACACTACACTAACAACCACAATATTACACTTACAGCACTACTACACTGTAAGCCACAACACTACACTAACAACCACAACACTACACTAACAACCACAACACTACACTAACAACCACACCACTACACTAACAACCACAACACTACACTAACAACCACAACACTACACTAACAACCACAACACTACACTAACTACCACAACACTACACTAACAACCACAACACTACAGTAAGAACCACACTACTACACTAACAACCACAAAATTCCACTAACAACCACAACACTACAGTAACAACCACAACACTACAGTAACAACCACAACACTACACTAATAACCACAAAACTACAGTAACAACCACAACACTACACTAATAAGCACAACACTACAGTAGCAACCACAACACTACAGTAACAACACTACAGTAACAACCTCCACAGTAACAACACTACAGTAACAACCTCTACAGTAACAACTTCTACAGTAACAACCTCTACAGTAACAACACTACAGTAGCAACCACAACACTACAATAACAACAACAACACTACAGTAACAACACTACAGTAACAACCCTACAGTAACAACACTACAGTAACAACACTACAGTAACAACCTCTACAGTAACATCCTCTACAGTAACAACACTAGAGTAACAACAACAACACTAGAGTAACAACAACAACACTACAGTAACAACCTCTACAGTAACAACACTACAGTAATAACCTACACAACACTGGCAGTAACAGTAACAACACTACAGTAACAACACTACAGTAACAACACTACAGTAACAACACTACAGTAACAACACTACAGTAACAACCTCTACAGTAACAACAGTAACAACACTAGAGTAACAACAACATAGAGTAACAACAACAACACTACATATCTACAGTAACAACACTACAGTAACAACACTACAGTAACAACACTACAGTAACAACCTCTACAGTAACAACACTACAGTAACAACCTCTACAGTAACAACACTACAGTAACAACACTACAGTAACAACCTCTACAGTAACAACCTCTACAGTAACAACACTACAGTAACACCACTACAGTAACAACACTAAAGTAACAACAACAACACTAGAGTAACAACAACAACCTCTACAGTAACAACCTCTACAGTAACAACAACAACCTCTACAGTAACAACCTCTACAGTAACAACACTACAGTAACAACACTACAGTAACAACCTCTACAGTAACAACCTCTACAGTAACAACACTACAGTAACAACCTCTACAGTAACAACCTCTACAGTAACAACACTACAGTAACAACCTCTACAGTAACAACCTCTACAGTAACAACCTCTACAGTAACAACCTCTACAGTAACAACCTCTACAGTAACAACCTCTACAGTAACAACCTCTACAGCCAGCAGTAGCACATAAAACACAAAAGAGGTCCACATCCCGCTGTTGTTTGTCTTACTCTTACTCTCTTCTCCTGTACTAACCTTTGCCCTCCGCCTTCTCTTCCCTTAACTTCGCCCCTGCTCTCCTAATTACCTTCTCCCTCTACCACCATTATCACCCGCTTGCTCGCCCTTCCCCTCCGTTGCCATTATTCTCTTCTTCCTCCTCCTCCTCCTCCTTCTCGTCCTCCTCTTCTCTGCCCTTCCTGCCTCATAAGCGGGAGTGGCGGCCATATTTTAGATGCTGTCAATTACTGAGATTGCTCGCCGGCGCACCTAAACCCGCTTTATTGCATCTTTCTCTGCCTGCTGAGGTCGTGTGCGACGAGTTTTTGGTATATCGGTCACTCTCCGAGGCTGACGGAGCACCTCACCCTCGGTATAAATCTGCGAAACTCAATTAATGGCAATTAGGAAAAGGAGCCTAAGTTGGTGTGTCATGGAGGGTATCCCCGGGTGGCGGCCCAGAAGCTGAGCTGCGGCAGCGACCTGGCTCCACACCAACCCAGATTTCATTTTCCAGGTCCTGTGATGATCCCAACGCGACTCTTCGGGGACTAATTTTATAGCCAGCCATTGATTGTGATGGTCGGGCCGTTATGGCTGCTGATGCTGACCCGTCTCCGCCACCCTCGCCCACCCTACACTGCCTCTTCCCTTTTTGGTTGAGTAGGATTCATCCTGTGAAACTTTACCCTGTGTCAGCAACAATGAAAGTGGCACTATAAACAAAGACGAGCGTAGCTAAGAGAAGACAGTCAGTAGAGAGTCAGGTACTTACCACGTCTGGTGTTGAGGCGCCGTCGGTGTGGGTGGTATCGGCCGAGGCCCGCCCAGCAGCGGCGGCCGCGGCGTTGTTGTTTGAATCCCCAGTGCCCAAGTCGGGCTTAGGACCATCACGTTCGTCAATCACCAAGTCGATGGGCATTTTACCCTTCAAACACGATATATACCGGTGGCAGAAGTTGTCACACAGCTCGTGTACCTGAGGGAGGAGGGCGACAAGTAAGATATCTTATAGCACTTCACATATCAACACTCAAGTTTTTATGTTAATGTCACTGTTTGGCACGGTCGAGTACACTGTAAAATTAACCTAAAACACACACACACACACGGTGGCGTCCTGCAGCAGCGGAGGACGCGGCAGTGCGGCTGGGAGCTCCGCAATGAGTGTCGCTGGTCGCCACCAGCAGGAACTCTGAGGGACTCTGCCTGCCACACCAGATTAACATGTGTTAACGGGAGTAAACCTTAAATCATCTGCTGCCAATGGTGTCGGCGAGGGGAAAACACGCCTCTGTGGGGATTAGGTGGTGGTGAGGGTCGGGGAGTGCCTACCCCCTTTAACCTGTCACGACCAGACGCCAGGGCAAGGGGAGCTGGAGGGAGGGGAGGGTCGATGGGGACACAAGGAAAACAAGGGATGCCCAGACTGGCGTAGAAGCAATAACGTGCAGGATAAACGTTGCATTATTAATTTGTTCTGGGAATGAAGTTTGTGAAGCCTTATTCACTCCTGCCCCACACGACTATGTTTTAGTTAAATAAGACATTCGTAAATTAAAGATATCAATGAACTTTATTCTCGCATAAAACCCATAAATAAAAAAAAAATTATAATATACAACTGAATATGAGAACACGACTGATGTACAACACAGAGATATAAGAATTTTCGTAATTTAATTGTAGATTTACGTCAACTTCAACGACCAGCCCGTGGAGATATGTAAAAATTCATTGTAAAAATTCTAAAGTTACTTTTCAGAATTAGTTCACTATAGAACAAACAGCGTCCCAACATCTTCCTCTTAACTCTTTCAACACCAGTCAACCGCAGCTGTTTCATAGAGAGGCAGGGAGGGAGAGAAAAGGAGAGCGCTCTCTCTCTCTCTATCTCTTTGTGTGTGTGTGTGTGTGTGTGTGTATGTGGTGTGTGTATGTGTGTGTGTGTACACGTATGCGCGCGAGCCCAATTGCGCACGTCTGTGCGTTTTTGTTTGTACTCAAGTAGGTGTACATGTGGCGGAGCAGGAGAGGGTCGGGAAGGTTAGTAGCTTTTAGAATGACAGACCCAGACAGCATTACCTTTATAACTGTTTTCACTAATAGTAATACCGCTACCAGGAACATTACGACCGTCTCACACACAAGTTCTCCAAGTTTTCCTTTATTTATACCGTATATATAAGGTTGCACTCATCTTTAACGCATTTGCCGTCCTTATAAAGGTGGCACTTCTCTACCAGTTGTTAGGTTACCGATACAAGGCACACTTAGACGTCTGTTTTACTCCCTTTACTGACATTATCTCATCTCCATCCCCACAAACCGAAGACAATTAAGATGGCCTGGCTGACGAGGACGGCCAGGTGTGTGGGGTGAGGACTGGGGGTCGTCACTCGGGCCACACACCAGGCACTGAGAACCAACACACAAAAACCAAGACACACGAAGATCAGAATTATCCATCTCTCCAGTGACGCCCTTCTCTATTTTTTCTCAGTGTTTCCTTTATATCTTGTTTCATATGATTGTTAACTGAGAAGTAGATAGAGAGCTAAACAAATAGATTAAGGAGGTTAATTATAAAGTAAGATTTAATGTTAATATGGCCATTGAATAAGATCACAAAGAAAGAGACAAAAGAGAAGGAATATTAGAAATAATTAAGAGAAGGAAGAGTGACGTGCGATATAGACGCCAACAGCACCAGCAAGAGAAGGCGCTTCACTTGGCGCCGTTGGTCGTGGTAGAAGTGCTGGCGCCAGTCAGGGTAAACCACAGGCATGCCCTTACATACACGTCCCCCACAACCCTCACCACACCTCCGGCACTACCTATCACAGCAAGGGGCAAGCTACAAGTTATACCTTTCCTCTTATATCAAAGACTCCTTAAGAGATGCCACCCGCCTCAGCTGAAGGATGAGCCGAACGGGTTGATTGTACAGGTGACAGTAGCAGAGGGAAACAAACACAGCCTACACGACAAAATATGACGCCGTCTGGGTGCTAGTGAACACGATCAGGAAGTGTGGGAATGACTATGTTGTCTGCATCATAGTAAGCCTTGAATTAAAGGGATTCAAGAAATATGAATGAATGTAAAATTGCATTATGGGATCTACAGCTCTGTCACCAGCCAGCTGTGAGCGGCACCAGACGAGTTGTACACATCCTCGTAACCCACCCACCCCACCACTGACTCCTGTTGTGAGAATACCAGTTGCACGTACGCGTAAAAGGGTGTTAAAACCCAATATAAATATATGACTTTTGAGTCTGTGCACTGTTGGGAAGTCCGGATAACCGTTTATTTTAAAATGGGACGGATTTGTTTTGCCTTTTTGCAATGCTCTACTGTTCATTCAAGCTGGACGTGACCGCTGTCAACAGCTTGTCGAGGTAACCAATCGGCTATGATGTTTCTATTTTCGGTCATGTCGGTGGGGCAAAATTGGCTCAATAAAGATTGTTGCTCGCACATTGCAGATACCAGGTCGTACTTCACTGTCTGATAGCATCTGGCATCTCCCACCGCTCTTGTCGGCACGGTGGGCATCGACTTTTTGTCACGGAGCATTTTGGGTCTGCTTATTTACTTCAGCCCAGGGATTGTACCTTATTTAAATTTTCTCATAACTAACAGAGTTTATTAGAGAAACCGCACTTGAGATTCAGGGCGAAAGACGTGACCCTGATCCGCTCTTCTCCTAGCAACAAAAAAGGTTAAGATGTCAGGGAGCTTTTCTATAATTGAACATTCGCCACACGCCACACCCCGCCACTGCAGAATCTATACAAAAACACGACTCTAATCCCGCAAACAAGAGTTTTTCCCCGCCTGCACTTCCCTCCTTGCCCTCTTACAGCTTCTCGTGAAAAATAAAAACAAAAAAAGACACGACAAAGAACTCTGGCATCCTCCCTAATGACCAACTTGGGGATCAAATCTTGGACGTGTCGTTAAGAGATTTCTAACATCATCACTACTTAAGCGAGCAAGTTACTGCCGGCATTATCAAACAGACATTATAGGGAAGTTTATAGTATCAAATTGATGTCTTTATTAAACTTTCTATAATATTACCGAATTAATAACTTATTACTTGGAATGTATAACTCAATTCTGGATTAAATAAGTGATTTTTATAACTAATTCATCGGTTAAGTTTAATACATTTAACTTTGGGTTTTATTGGTTAAAACTTCCATAAAGACAGATCAATTCACCTTATATACACAGTCCCGTACAGGCGAGGTCCCACGCTCTGACTTTGACTCGAAAAGTGGAAAAGTGTTTCTTGTTTGATGGGGAATAATTGGTTTTGTTTGCCTTTATCATCGACTTGTATTTATTTTTCTGCACATGAATCGTAATAAACTGGTTGTCTACTGAACAGAATTTGCTTTTCTTTTTGTGATGGAGGAAGTGGCGTTTAGAGGTGTTTGTGGTTCTTGCACTGATGTTATTGTACATCTGACCTCATTATGGCGTTTACCTGCCGTCATTTCCGAGGCCATCCTACCCCCTCGGCCTGATTTATGCTTCACCTATGCCTAATTTGTATGCGGTATGTCCTTCATACTAATCATGTATGATTTGACGCATTAACGCAGACGTGTGGTGTATAGATGTGTGGGCATGATACAGGGAGCAGGAGTGAGGCGCTACAATACACCATTGGCGGTGAAATTTGTTACCATACAGTACACGGCTCCTCTGTTCCACATGACAATCAATATTTATAAATCTGACTGTGGATGAATTTGGATACTTTGCATACTACACAAGGTATATATACCCTACAACAGATGGTATATATAAACAAGGTATATATTGTACACCGAAAGAATGAAAATACAAATTATTCTCACCATACAGGATAGATATGTATATAAGTAAATGTTACAGTTCTAAACAAATAATGAAAATATACACCGAAAATTCATACCATATAAAAACAAATAAGTATGAGACTCCGCATACAAGATAAAAAAAAATATATACATATAAATCTGAGTACAAACAATTCGCCAATATATCCATATGAGTGTGTGTATGAAAGCTGTATGATATGCACATAGGAGAGCGTGTATACATGACGGGAGGGAGGGGCATGGGTACCCCCAGCAACACTGGACTGAGAGTCGCTTCAGCCCCTCCACCATTACGTTGAAACAAAAACAAATATATATTGTGATATTCGTGCACAGTAACACAACGGGAGGGATGCAGAGGGGGGAGGAGGGAGGGAGATCAGGGGGGTGGGGAGGGATTGAGGAGGGTGGTGGAGGTTGATGGGGTGAGGGAAGGGGTGGTGGGATGGTTGGGGTGGGGTGGGTTCAGCTCAAACAAAACGCTGGAATTAAAAATGGCGATCTCCTGGGTGTGTGACGTGAAAATTACACGCTGTGAATATATTGGCTCAGGTGTTCAGTAATGAGTGTTTCAGTGCGTGTTCCCTCCAATTTATGTGATATCTTTAACGTGCATATTTAGGTATTAGTGGCGGTCTTCGCTCGACTCGCTGATACACAGGTCTTCCAAAACACATTGTACGCGTCGCTTCCCAACATGAAACTTACCTACATTTTTTTTTTGTAAACAGCCGTCAATGTCCCAAACTGTAGACTTACTAGCAAGCTGTGGCATCCCTAGTACATGACCCAGAGGGAATTAGTCTCACCTCGGCTTTTACCTCAGGTCTTACGGTACAGTTTGAGGGAGAACGATATATATGAGGATAATGTACATACAACAAACTAAAGTGAAGAGCAAAAACTATATACATTGTAAATTTAAGAACAAACAAAGCTGTTATCACACACTATTAGCCCCCTTCACTATAATGTTCAGCCATTATATAATAATTATACCGGACGTGTATAATCCAGAGGGGTATTCCTAAACTTGCAAGACAACTACCGTCACCCTCCTCAGCTTAAACTTTCTCCACACATTGGCTTCCCGGGTCCACACACTAGCTCCCCCGGGT